TTGTTGTTGCGTATTTACTGCAAAGATTATTTGCAATGCCTCGTTGTGCCCCATTGTGCCGTATCTCTGTCTATCCGACTGTGTGTCTGTCTCTGTGTGTGTGTGTGGCATGGCAGCTCCATAGTGCGCGGTCGCTTTGTCTACAACAAATCACTTTGTTGGCGCAACACTTTAATGTCAGGGATTAGGCATTAACGTGAGATTTGCCAGCGTGCGTTCTGCTTGCTTTTATGGCAAGCCATTTGCATTATACCTAAGCAACGCACATAGAGAACGAGTGAGAGAGAGAGCGAGAGAGCGAGAGAGGGTGAGGGAGAGAGAGTGAGTCTGCTTGAGCTTTAGCTAACCGTTCTTAGTGTTCTGTTTGGTCTTCCTTTTATTTTAGGCAACTAAATATGGCACTTCAGTTGCTTTTGGTAATTGTGCTATATTTTAAATACACTGCGAGAAACATGCAAGTTCTTCAGCTCTTACAGCAAATTGTTGCCCTACTCGAAATGTAGTCTGAAAGTTGTTTATTTCTGCTTCGTTCGAACTCTCCAAAAATAAATTCTTGTTTTCTTTTATAGCTACAATCAAAGTGAAGTACTAGAAAATACGTAATCCCAACTTCAACTCACTGCAAAACACAATAAACAACATTTAAAACTTGTACAAAGAAAAATCTGAAATAAATATTTACAATATAAACAAAGAGTCGTCGACTATTTCTCTCTGTGCACTCTTATGAATAACGATGCTTGCAAATAGAGCCACAATTTGTTTTTGCTGCATGCTGAGTGCATTTTCCAAAAGTAATTTTACATTTTCGTTGAGTGAAAACATGTAAAAGGAAAGAAAATTTCAAATAAAACTGGCTGAGCGAAATATTCGGCTCAACTAAATACATTGCAAACAAAGCAAATTTTATTTTGTGTTTCAGTTATTGCAAAAAACTTGAACGCCATTTTGTTATGAATTGGTCCATTTGAGCTTTATGGACGCCTCGAATGTGGCATGTTGCTGTTGCTGTTTGCTGGCTGTGCATATTTCACGGCGCACACAATTGTTCTGCAGCGGCATTTCCATTTTGGTATTTGAACTGCGATTCGGCAAACTGGAGATCAAAATCTGTGTTTTATTTGTTCATTCTTCTTGTGCTGCTCGCTATTTTGTTGCAAAGTTGTTATGGGCAGAGGCGTGTGCCGCCCATGAACTGCAAATTGCGTACGCAAATTGTCTGCTTAAACGGCCTACGCTGCCAGCTCGACGTCTGTGTCTATTTCGCGCCTGTAAATCGTAAATCAGCGCAGATTATTGTAGCTCCTTTTGCAACTGGGCCGACAACTCCGCAGCCCCATTTGCATTTGTATCTTTTGCTCAGCGAACGCGTTTTTCAATTTGAGGCAGCTTAAAGCGTCTTGCAGTTGCGAGCTGCTTCTTCATAAATATGCAAATTGTACCACGCACTCCGTCTTGCTGTGGTTGCCAGCTCTGGCTTCCCCTGAGCTTTGAGCTTACCACGCAAAAAAAAACTGTATAAAAATATTTGATTATATGCTACCTTACGACTGGCTGTACATTTGCTCAACTAGCTGCCGCGCCCCTGCCCGCTCTGCTGGTCTACCCCCAAAGCGGGTAACAGCTAACGATTTTGATTGTTATGTACATATAACTCGATGCTTACGGATTGCAGGAGTAGGAACAGGAGCAGGAGTCGTGGCCCAGCTCGCTCTAAGCGTAAACAATGTTGCTCAAGTGGGGACTGTTGCTTGGCTTTGTGTTTGGGCTGGGGGCTTGTGTGCGTGCCAGTCTGTGTGTGCGTGTGTGCTTTGCCGCATTACTCATACGCCGTGTTGCGGTCGCTTTGGCTTTGGCTGCTTCTTAAGAGGCACTTGGCCAACGCCCGGGCATGTTTAATTGAGTTCATCTGGAAGACAACCTTAATGTCGGGGTGTGTGTGTCGGGGAGTGTGTGTGTAAGTGTGCGTTATCTGCCCATCAAGCGGCACTTTTGCCGCCATCTAATTAGACATTGTGACTACCTTAATTGGCTCAAACGCTTGGACTTTATAACTTTTCGAGTGCGTCCCGCTGCCCGCCCCTGCCCCCACATGAGACACAAATGAATATTGCTTTATTTGCTATCCCAGTCTCCTTGGCACTCTACGCTCTGCTGTCATACATAAATAATATGCCCAGAGGATATTCGTCGTTTCATTTCATTTGATTTTCATATTTTCATGTTTGTGCTTTTTATCATAAAGCAGCTTTGCATTCTTCATTTGCTTGTGTTGTGTGCACATGAATTTTATATCGCATCGCACAAACAATTCCAAAATCAATAAAATTAAATTGAAAATCATAAACTGAACGACAGCCCGTCTGGCTGAGGCACAGCACAGCAACAGCAGCAGCAACTCAAAACTAATTCGCTTCGTTTGTTTCTCGGCTGCAGCAGCTGCACAAAAAGTTTTTTTAAAAGATTTTTGCTGAACCCAAACTATGCAGACTGTATCTATGGCTCCAGTAGAGCCAAATCCGATTGGAATTTAATTTTCATTTTGCTTCCATGCCACAGCGAGTTTTAAGTACTCTATTTTATGCATAATGTTAGTGTTGATAGTTGTTAATAGTTGAGGCAGGTGAATTAGTTTCAGCTGATGGAAGATTTTCGATAAATTATTAACTTGTATCGATAAATCATCAAAAATATATTCTGGGTACTACTAAAAAGTTGATATAAAAAGTATAAAAAGTTTTATGCAATTTTTAGACAATAAAACATATAGTATAGTAGTGTACCTTAACCTATCGATAATTTGTACATTTATCGATAACCTAAAGCATTGCTTACAATCTTTGTCGCTTCTTTAGTTAAAAGCTTCAAAAGAGAAGCCTAGATTTTCAAATAAATTTATATATTTATATTTTCAAATAATAGAATAAAGTCCATAATAATTGTTGAAATGATCGATATTTATCGATATTATATAATATCTACTTTAAGCTAACCACCCTGCCTTCAACTTCTGCCCAATAAACAGGCTGCATTTTCGACTCGTATTCAAAGCAGAGACTTTGCCTTAAGTCTGCTCACAGAGTTTCCAAAATCCAATTGTTAGAGTTAGAGACAACTGCGTTTGCAGGGCTTAGATCTGAATAATGTTTTGTTACAATTTACTTAAGCCAGCTGCTCGAGTGCGAGTTGGCTTCACATTTGTGAATTGACCCTCGTAATTCACAATTGAGTCAAATAATTTTATAATTCAATTATCGGCAAGCAAAAGTTTTCACTGCCCACAAAAGCAGACAAAATGTTTGGCTTTTGTTGTTATTTCTCTAAAATTATGCAAGTTTAGTTTAGGCTGCCCTTGCAGCTCTGCAGCTGCCTGCCTTTGTGGCCCTTGCTCTGTCCCTGTGTTTGGTATTTATAGTTGCTTAATTAATCAAATTGCGCATTTGATTGCCTGTGGCCTTTTGATTTCTCTAAATAAACTCGTTCAGTGCACTTCATATCTTTCAATGAAAATTGCATAATGTTATTATTTCAAATGGCGTTAATTAAATAAAATAAATAGTTTTCATTTTAGACTGTTTAAACTGAAATAAGCTGAAATTTTGATATATAAAGAAAATTTATTATGTTAGAGTAAGAGAGTTTCACTATGACTTGTGTAATATATGATTGAGACGTGATGGAGGCTTGATAGGGTTTGAGCTTGAAACTTGATTTATCTTACATCTACTGTTATTTATTTGTTTGACATTTCTTTTATAAATCGTTCATATCAATTTTTTGTCAATTTTTTGTCTTCTATTTTTTATCTTTATTTTTTATATGCTCTTTTCTGTCTTCCATCTTTCATCTTCCATCTTCCATCTTCCATCTGTCATCTTCCATCTTCTATCTTCCATCTTTCATCTTTCATCTTCCATCTTCCATCTTCCATCTTCCATCTTCCATCTTCCATCTTCCATCTTCCATCTTCCATCTTCCATCTTCCATCTTCCTTTTTCTATCTTCCTTCTTCCATCTTCCATCTTCCATCTTCCTTTTTCTATCTTCCTTCTTCCATCTTCCATCTTCCAGCTTCCATCTTCTATCTTCCATCTTCTATCTTCCATCTTCTATCTTCTATCTTCTATCTTCCAGCTTCCATCTTCTATCTTCTATCTTCTATCTTCTATCTTCTATCTTCCAGCTTCCATCTTCTATCTTCTATCTTCTATCTTCTATCTTCTATCTATTGTCTTCTATCTTCTAACTTCAATATTTTATCTTCTATATTTCATCATTCATCTTCTATCTTTCATCTTCTATGATCTATTTTCAATCTTTTTTAATTAGTCCTCTAGCCACCATCTTTTATCTTCTATTTTCTATCTTTTTTGCCCTCTCTTCTATCTTCTTTATTTTTCCTCCTCTTATTTCTTCTTTTAATCTAACTTTGAAATTTGATTTCTCGAGCAGATTTCCTAGCTTATTTAAAGAGACACACATTCCTCTGTTTCAAATAAAAATTCTATATAATTATTTGAAAGTCAGGTAAAAAAGACATTGGGAAGTGAGCAAAGACAAATATGAAAATATAATTTTAAATAAAAAATCACTTGAGAACTTTTCTAATTTACGCATAAAGTTTTGCAACGCGTTTTAATTATGTTTTTCCTTTTTTTTTCGTCTGGCGTTTGTTTTCAATTCTTTGTGCAAATAATTTGGTTGAACAATGCAAACTGACACAAAAAAAGATAAATTATGTTGCAATTAAGACATAAAAAAGTAAAACAAAAACAGCGACAGGAGACGCCGCAAGGGAAGCAGGACGAGCAGCAGGGAAATGTGCATGAATTAGCGAGATTTACATGAAAATTTCATAAATATGTAAGCGACGTGGACAAGCCCCAAGCGGGGGTTGGCAGAAGTGTGATAGGGTGTGCGTGTCTGTGTGGCAGAGGTGTGTGTGTGTGTGTGTGTCGGTGTCACGAATTCAAGGTACGCGCAATCAAAGCAAAAATTACCTAATTAACATAATCCGCAGTGGCCAAATGAGGCGATGTTTGGGCTGCTTCTTCTTGCCGCTGCTGCTGCTGTGGCTGCTACAGCAGTAGGGGGCGTGGCCAGTGGCAGTAGCTGAGTTTGGCGTCTGGTTGCTGCGGCCGTTGATTAGCGTTTTCCTTGGGGCATGCGACGCTGCGTCCCTCGCCTCTAAGCGGCTTTGCGCTCGGCGTTTGTAAATCCTTGGTGATAAGTTGTCCTGCTGTGGTAATGCAGGACCTGCTGTCCAGCTGGCAGCTTGAAGCTTGAAGTCTGAAGCTCAAAGCTGCGGCTGTCCACGGGGAAGCAGCCACTGATTAATATACAGACGTTTAAATTTCGTTTTTCGCTGTTCGCTTCTCGCTGTTCGCTTCTCGTTTTTGTTGTGCTTTGGTTTGTTTTGGTTTGCTTTGGTTTTTCCTTGTTTTTGTTTGTTTTCTTTTGCTTTTAATTTACTTTGCTTTTTGGTTTGTTTTCACAGTTGAAGCACTATAATCAAATGCAGCTTGCACTTAAATTGAATGTTAAATTTAAGCAGAGCAAAGTCATAGATTTATCTTTACTAAAAGTTTTTTTCGTGGCTTTCTGCTGGATACATTTGTAAAGCTTTAAATAAAATTGAATATAAATAAAAATTGTAAATCAGTTGATCTAACTTGATGGAAATTTATTGTAGAAACTTTTAGTTCAGACTGCAACCTGAATATATTTATTTTATTAAAGTTTTTTATGCGCTTGTGTCTCTGTATGAGCAGGAAGCACTTGTGTGTTGTGTGCTTGAGAGCAGATAAAAAAAAGGAAATAAAACTAGCAGCGCACAGAAGTATGCTATATAAATTTATGAATGACTAAACGAAAACATCTCCAGCTGAGTCCTTCAGCTGCTGGCACATCCTGTGCGGGCAATAACAACAAAAGTCACACAGCTTCCTTGACGCCCTGATGTCTGCCAGAAAGTTTGACGTCTACAGCTGCCTGCCACACGCAACAACAAGCGCCACAAGCTCGAGCATCATAACAAAGCACACACACACGCACACACACACACGCACAGCATTTAGCATGTGGCTAACATTTGCTCTGAGTTATCTATTTACGTTTTTCTTTGTTTCTAATTTTTTGTATATTTTTTTTTGTTTTTTTTTTTTTTTTTTTGGCCACTCGTAGTTGGCTTTAGGCCATTTAAGCGGTGAGCCTTACTTTAGTTTAGTCACTTTTTTCAACTCTATGCAGGCACTGCACGCGTGTCCTTTCCGCTCACGGATACAGCACTAGACTGAGCTTAGCATGCGGCCAGCGCTTGCTTTTAAGCAGACACGAGTCCTGTGAGTCGCAATTTCGAATTTCGAATACGATTGTGCGTCTGCGCCGGATAGAGAGACTGCTTGCCTGCCTCTCTTTCTCCCTCTCTCTCTCTCTGCCTATCTCTCTCTCTCTCTCTCTGGGTGCTTGTCTACTTGGCGCTTTCTCTGGCTTGTTTTGTTATTATTATTTTCGCTTATCGCCGCTGTCGCCGTTGTCATCACCTGTTTGCATTTGGGTAGTCCTTGAAGTCGACTGTGTGCAGTCGCACGCATGTGGTGCGCCAGGATTATGTCCTGTCCACACAAACACAAACACGCAGTTGCTTAAGTAGCAGCTTTGCGTAGACAATCGGTTCAACTTAGGCCGCATCAGCCCAGCACCTGGCCGACTGCCTCATTGACTTTGCCTGTTGGCCTCTGGCAGACAAACCACATTATGTAATAATGTTTCACTTGTGTCTCGCATTTGTTTGCCCGTCCTGGCTGGAGAGTGGGTGCTTGGTTGAGGCTCGCTTGGTCAGTCCAGCATTGAGACTGCTGCGTGTTAAACTTCAAATTAATTGCTGCCGAAAAATAGTTATTATCAATGGTATGAGTGGTCAACTCTGTCTGCTGCTGACCGCAAACCCAACATGGAGCACGTTTGCCACAGCCAGCAGCAGCTGCAACTGCAGCAGTAGCCGAAGTGTATACACTTGCAGAAATAATCGAGAAACAATCGAGGTGGCATATGAAGTATTTATAATTAATAGAACCAGCTCAGTAAGTTCTGCAGCTTGCTCTCTTAAATACCCTTTAAAGTAGCGACAAGCAGGTATAGGCTTAGAAGAAAAAAGAAAGCAATGAGACGAGCAAATTGAAGAGTCGGACATGCCCAACTGGATTATTCAAAGTTGTTAGAGCTGATAGAAGTTACTCTATCTGTAAGGCTTGCTTCATGTATACAGATTCTCTTCTTAGGTAGCTTCATCTTCTCTGAGCTCAAGCTTGAGAATTTGGCAAATTAAGATCTAAATTTGATGCTTCAAACTTGAAGGCTTCAGTTTTCGCACAGTGCACAAGAGTTAGACAAGGTCAGGTAGGTTTGAGTGGGTGTGTGTGAGTGTGCATAAAAGTCATTAAGTGTGGCCAGCAAGTGCAGAGCGCATACAAAAGCTAAGCAATAACAACAATAGCAACGTGAACAACAACATCAACATCAAAATTGACGCCGTAACGAGGTTCATGTTTAATGGCCTTGTTGTTCGCCTGGTCCCGGGTTCCTGTTGCCTGCTGGTGACTGGTAACTGGTAACTGGTAACGGGTGACTGTTGGCTGGTGACTGGCGACTGGCGACTGGTGGCTGGTGGCTGTTTTACCGGTCCAGCAACAAAGGCAGCACCGAAAAGGACATGCACTAATATCGTTTCAGTGCCGTTTTAGTCCTTCGGTCCGCGCGTCCTTTAGGCATGCACGTTGTCACCGTATCTCGCTGTCGCCGTCGCCGTCGCTGTTGCAGCTTGAACCTGACACAGAAAATTGTATTTTAATGATGGGGCACAGCAATGTTGCAGGCACCCTACCCCACAACGTCGCTCCCTCACCCTCGAAGTGCAGACTCCGTGCACATTCAAGATGTTAATAAAGCGACACACGTTGCAGCCAGCGTTTGCAACTGCATAATGAAGTTGTAACTTGTGCTTGCAACCGAGGGCCATTTTTGGGGGTTTGTTGCCATTTTATGGCGCTGCTTCAGCCGGCAGCAATAGCAGCAGCACCTGCAACAGTGCCCGGCTGCTGCATACCTTCAGTTAACGTCCGCATCAGTCGGCATGCAAATTGTTGTGTTGCATTGTTGCAGTGTTTAGATCTCTCGTCACTCTCTCGCTCTCCTTTTCTATCTCGCCCACTCTCCTATTTCTCTTTAGCCCAGTTTGCATCCCTTTGAGCGGGTCCTACTCCATTTTATGTGGAGTGCGCTCTTGACAAGCTTTGCTTTCTATACCCTATGCCCCAAAGGGCCAAGAGGTGTAGAGAGTATTTGCTACAGATATTAATCCTTAATCGAATTTGGAAAAGAATGAGGTATTCTCTTATGTGCAATTCACTTGATTTGATTTGTCTCAGAAACGAAAAAGTTTCCCAGACTCTGAAACAGGAAGAAAATTCAGTTGTAGAAAGGAAATTTTAGTTCTGCCTAAGGGAAACTCTAGATTTTAGAGTAGATTTTGCTCTTCAGCTGTGCACAGAGTATCTTGTAGTCGAGCACTATCATACGCCATATTTTTGCTTGTTATCAAGCGTAACTGTGTGTACGTCTATCTCTCTCCCTCTCTCTCTCTCTCTCTCTCTCTCTCTGTGGAGTGTATTTGAAGTGCACTTGTTTGTGCATTGCTGCAATCGTAATTATTGTTAATGGCCATTTGCCAAGCGCTTGTTGTTCTGACTTAAATCAGTACAAATTCATTTGAGGTGGAGCCCAGCCACTCAAATGATGATTCACAATTGAAGTGAGTCATTAACAGCGAGCAGCGCGTCTGCAGCTGGGGCCATAGTCACAATTAGCGCTGACTTTCTTAATGCTCCATGACACGTTAGAGTACGATTTATTTGGCTTATAAAAATAGTCGATTGAACTAAACAGCAAAAGGTTCTACAAGTGCCAATTAGCAGCCGATGATACCCTATGATTTGGTGTGTGGAGCAAAGATTATATAAGTTTTGGCTTGAAAGTATATGGAGTACCTATGCTGAAATGGTGATCATAGATTTCTATGAAAACAAGAACTGAACTCGAGTTGGCCTTAATCAGAGAATATAGTTCTCTTACTTTAATATTTCTATTGCTAAAGCTTTATATATCTCTGTATCTATTCTTCTATATAAATCCCCTTCTATCAGTGTTTCTATCTCTATCTGCATCTGTATCATTTTACAATCGTGCTTATAGAGTATGTCTATTACACAGCTGTAAGATTTCATTTAATTAAATTCGGATTTATTTTTTACAGTTGAAGCAGTTGAACCGAATGAGAATGAGCACAATGCCAGCGATGAGGACATGGAGAACGAGGAGTTTGGCGAGCCAGGCAAGTGTTGAAAAACTGTGTGAATTTACGAAAAATGTTTTCGCAACTAATGGCATTTGCCTGTTACAACTGCTGCCCCACGTTTCCACCTTTCTAAAACAGATAATGGACTTACTGAGAAAACGTTCAAATTTGAGGATTTCGCTCGCAGGTAAATTAGCAACAGCCACAAATGTCTCCAAATTCCATTCAGTCCCAGCCGCAGGGCAGTTTCATTGCGCTCTTATTCTATTTTTTTTTCTGTTATTTCTGCTGGCCACATTTTATTGGTGTTATTTGAAAAGTTTCATTGATGGTCGTGCTGAAAATTGTAATTGTAATTTTAATTGAAAGGCAGAAAGCAAGTGGCAGCACAGCTCGTGGCTACTAATTAAGGATTAGCGTCAGAAATTACTTGTGCCCAAAGTTTTATGAATGCCAACAACTTGAATGCCGCGCGCGCACAGCTGCGAAGGGGCGCGGATGTACTTCTAAATGCCCACAAACAACAACAACAATTATATTATTTAATGGCGCTGTGGCTTGTATTTAAATTGTGCCGTAATTGTTGTTGTTTTGAAAATGTTTTCGAAAGTTTTCGCTGCGGCTAAGCGCTTAAATCATAATTTGCTTAATTTTGCATAATTTAATTGCCGTCCCGAAACGTTGCTTTAATATCCGTTTGCTTAAATCAATCCTCCGTACAGATTGCTGCATCCGAAAATCGTGCGTGCCTGCACTGTCGTCCTGACGGACTGGACTCAGATACCGACGCGGGCCCTCAAGGCGGCTGTCACCATATTGCATCGCATCGCTTACGGATGCTCCTGTCCGGGCATGCTCTACCAGGTGAGTGCGTGCGTTTGCTGTCTGTCGACTGTTGCCTGCTGCCTGCTGCCTGCTGCCCGCTGCCCGCTGCCTGCTGCTTTTAATTCAGTTTTTGCGTCGAGACGCAGCTTTTGGCACATAAATCAAAGTCAAATGCAAAAAGCGCGCTGCGGCTCAGCAGCCATGACTCCGACGACTGCCAAGACTCCCAGACTTTGGACTCCATACGCTTCGGTCTGCAGTCTCCAGTCTCCAGTTGCCAGTTGCCAGTCTAACTGGAAGGCGCCCATTTTTTTTCTTCTTTCGTTTTTATGGTAATTTGTACAAATTAAGCGAACCTTTTTTCTATTTGTGGCAACCACAAACGATATTTACTGCGCCTTCTTTATATTTTTCAACGAGTTGCCACAACAGCCATTCGGCCCCGCCCACTGCTGCTGTTGCTGCTGCTTGTTTGTCCCATTTCGAAGCCCTTCTGCTGTCAGCTGGAATTTGAACTTTTTAAGCCCTTTACGCACTGCCTTGAGCCTCAGCATTGCTTGGGTTTTACTTTTTAGCCGCTGCCACTGCCGCTGCGTGTCGCGCCAGTGGGCTGAGTGGTTGATGCGGCACGGAAATTAAGCATTTAAATATGCCTGTTTGTGTTGCCTACACAAGTTAGGGTATCAAGAGTATACAGAGAACTTGTAAACTTCTTGGAATATTAGATTAGCTTCTTCTGTGTTCAGAGTGTAAATGTTGAAGGGGACCAGGAGAAAAAGTCTGCTTTATAAATGAATATACTACTAAGAGATACTTTTGTGACAACTTAAGAAGACTCGTTAGGAGACACTACAAAGCTTGGCAAAGTCAAATTTTATCAGCTATGAAAAAGTTCAATTTATTTTACTTAAAATATAATCCGCATAGAGATTCGCATATCAAAATTCTCTCGATTCAAATCACTTTCAGAATCGAATATAAATCGATTTCTATATTCAGTAATAAATATTTACTTCAAGTGAAACACATTTATCTCAATTAACTCTCAAGTTTCTTAAGTTCTTTTTAGAGTGTTTTGCTATTCGAATTGCTTAAACAACTTTTACTTTTTTTGTTAGATACATTTATATATATATATATAATGTGGCTCTTTTGTGCGCGCTGCTTTTCACGGCTGGCAATTAAACTTTTCTTTGAGCAGAGTTCATAAATCACATTCAACGCCAGGCGGCGGTCGCGAGCTCTCAGAGGCAACATTATATAACTGGCTGGCAGCTTAAGCTGTATTTTGTAAGCGATATGCGCCTCTATACAAAAGCTGATCACTAAAGTAGCCAACAAATGGCGCATTATGTGAACCGAATGGCGTCAGACATGTGGAAGGGAGTTGACTTCAGCCAGACCAGCTAGCTGCATATCCCCTACGCCAGCTAAGCTGGCTTCTGGCTGTGTTGCTGCTGTTAGGGGAGACATGTCCCGTGTCCATCAGACGTCTTGCTCGAGTTGGCTGAAGCAGGACAAAACAAAAGTGGCATCATATGCAAAGTCAAAACCACTAATGGGTCTGCGCAATCATAGGATAAATTAAATTTCAAATACGGCAGGACGAGCGAGTCGCAGCAAGGGCGAACAACGAACAACGATACACAAAACAGAGCAGAGAGCGGCGTGTGGGGCTTTAGGTAGGGGTATGCAAGCATTTATAAACTTTTGCCGATTGCAAATGATATCTTGCTTTGGCAGCAGCCACAGGCACCGAACCGCAGGCGACAACCACAGGATGCCAGTCGAGGCTGCCCCTGCCGAAGGACAACAGCTCAAACCTCTCGGCTTGTGGCTAGTGTCTTTGTCGGCACTTTTCATTTAAATATGAAGTGACGTTCGTTGTCTTCTGTCTCACTCTTTGCTATTTACAGGCCAAGCTGTTTCGGATCTTTCAACAAGTCTTCAGCGTGGAACGTGACGCCCATCAGGAGGAGCTGCGCCGCCTGGGCATCTATGTGGTGCGCAAATTTGTCGAAGTGGCACCAACTAATCCAAAAATCTATGCAGAGTTATTATTTTACAAGGGCATACGGGAGGCCAACGAGCTCGAGACCGGCTATTGTGATGCCTATGAAGCGTGAGTACCAGACAAGACGAGGCTGGGGGCGGCACTGTCACATTGGGGTTAAAGGCCCATCAGCACAATGGGCACATGATTGACTGAGTCGTTGGCTGTGGCTGTCTGCGCCTGTCGTTTAGCTGCTGCGACTAGTTTGGTCCATGCTGGCCACGGTGTGTGGAAGGGGGCTGGCAACAGTTGATAAATGATGCTGGGCGTCCAGTTTGAAGAACTTGTTCTGTAGCCTTCCATTCATTTCGGTATTTGCAGCGGCACCAAGGGCGCCTGGAGCGAGGAGCAGGAGACGGAGCTGCGTTTCCTATTCGAGGAGAATCAACGGAATCCCGAAACCGATAAGGGTAACTATGACAAATACTTGGCCAGGGGCTACAACTGCCCCAGCCTGTAAATTAAAACCCAATTTACGCTAAATGAATGAAAGCAATCAAAACGTCCGAGGTATAAGGGGCAAACAACCAAACAGAAAACCAAATTGAATAGTTTCATTCACGCTGCCGATAGCTAAATACTCTTGCGAGCAGGGAAAAAGAAGGCAAAGAAAGGGAGAGTTTTTTATAGTGGAAATATTAAAATTATAATATATATATAATTAATTATTATATAATTAATTAAAGAGTCTAGTTCCCTTTGCAGTCAACGCATTTTATAGAGCCAGCAGATTGTATAGTTAGAACAGTTTTTTTTATAGTCAGTCTCTATAGTCTAGTCGAGTCTCTAGTATAATTTCTACAAGCTTCTATCATAGCTCTATGATATAATAATCATATGCTTACTTTAAGATCTTTATCCAGATCTATATTTCAGCTTTAGATAAGCTTTTCTAAGCAAAGATAGAAACCTATAAATGAACAGCATCGATTGTTGCTACTCTTTAAAATACATTTTGCGCCGCGTTACGCTTCTCATCTCACAATTAATAGACTCCCAGCTAGAGTATGAAAACAGAAAACAGTTAACAGTACAAAAAAAAAAAAATAAAGAAAAGAAGCAAGCAACAGCTTTAATCAAATCGAGTGTGCGTGTGGGTTTTGTGTTCTTTCAGATGTGATTGATTGGATTCTGGACAATTTGGTAGACAAGACACGCACACGACGTGGCGTCCTGAAGAAACTCAAGGAAATGGAGCTGCTCTTTAAGGCGCCCACAAAGCGATCTACCAAGGCGGCGCTGGGTGGCAAGAACCTGTGGCAGCCGGAAGAGGATGAGCAGCTGAGCAGCTTATACGATCAGCATCGCTTGGAGCCAGGTGCGTCGAGTTCATTTCGCTTTCAATTGAAATTTACTGTTGTCTCCTCACAGATTGCCTGCAGCGCATTGTGGAGGCGTTTGAAGAGCGTCGCAACAAGCAGCAGATAATCAAGCGCATGCTTCAGCTGCATCTGATTGCGGACAAATCCGAGATTTTGCCCGCCAAGGCGAGCAAGGGCAAACGCAAGGCCACCAAAAATCAAAAGGGCAGCGATAGCGGCGAGGAGTCAGAGCAGGAGCAGGAGCAGGAGGATTTTGTGGAGGAACCAGCATTTGGCGAGCGGCAGCCCAGGCAAAAGCTGGCCAAGTCCAAGCCACGTCAGCGTGTGCGCACGCCTTTGGATGTGGGCACTGTGCGCGCCCTGATCGCCCAGGTGGATGCTGAGACCCATGCGGAGGCGCTAGATTGGCTAAAGGAGTGCCTGGAAGATGCCAGCGAGGATACCGAGGAAGCGGCCGAGGATGATGATGGCGTCCCGCTGCTGCCACTACTCGATACACAAAAGGATGCCATGGAACTGGCTGATTTTCAGAAGGTCCTTGTTGCGCTGGGCATGCAGCCGCCCATTGTGGGCATGGAGAGCTATTGGCGCATACCCAGCTATCTCAATGCAGCAGATCTTAAGTTGCGCGCCAAAATTGTAGCCGGCGAAGAGGTCGAGCCTGACAACGACAGCGAGCAGGAGTCGCAGCCAGCGGGTGACAGCGCTGAGGACGAGGAGGAGGAGGAGGAGGACTACTTGGATAAGCGCAGCAGGGAACGTCAGCAGGCTGCCGCACAGAATATATCAGTTCAGCAACAGCGCAAGCTGGACAGCCTGATGTTCAACAAAAGCGACGACGAGGCCGAACAGCGCGAGCCGCCAACAAAGGCCAAGGGAAAGCGTTCCAAAAAGGGCAAAGTCAAAGCTAAGCTGCAACAAAAGGACTCCTCGGATGAGCTGGAAGTCAATGAAATAGCGCGCAAATTGGCACGCAGAAGGCGACAGCCTGATGTGTCCAGCGACGAGTCCGATGCAGAACAAGAGACACAACGAAAAGCTCAAATGGAGCAAGAGCAGGAGTTGGTTGGCAAGCCAAACACGGATGATTTATTTGAACAATTGAAAGCTAAACGCGCCACTAAAATCAAATTGAAGGATATGGTTCTCGATGAGGCGAGCCAGCCGGCAACCGATGGGCATGAGCAGGACGATGATGCACTCGAATTCAATTCGGAGGGCTTTAGGGCGCGGCTGCTCGAGCTTGAAGAGGAGGAGCAAGAACGGGCGCAAGGGACGGAGCCCGAAGAGTCGGAGCATGACAAAGAGAATGCCACATTGCAGGCGAATAACACAATCAAGGCGAGCTCGTCTTCCGCCGCCCCATCGTCCTGGCAGCGCACACGTCGTGCTAATGTAATTGACTCGGATAGCGACAACGATGATGCTGGCGCCATGCCTGCTTACAAGACAAACAAACGCCCACGCAGCGACAATGAGCAGGATGCCCAACAACGCGATGAGCCCGACACCGACGACGAGGATATCAATTTTCTGGCTCGCAAGAAGCCAGCCAGCAGCGAGCCGGCCAAGCGACGTCGTCTGGCCATCATCGACGACGATGATGACGAGAATAATGATTTCTAGAATGTAATTAAGTTAGAACTTTGATTTTGCTATTGAATAAATGTCACACTGCAGCTTGCATAACGCGCTGACAATTAATTGAAATTGTTTCGAATCATCAATATAAACTTAATGCTGAGCTGCACTCAACTCAGTAACTGTCTGAAAATCCGGTCAACTAATTGAAAAGTGACACTTTGATGCGCATATTGCATTCTGTTATATATGAGTATCAATTGGAAAGGTGCAAAGACTAATAAATGTGTGGAAATTGAAGTAAGTAGCCATCTAGAGTGTAGAGTTGCCATGAGAACGAACAATTATTATTAATATATAATTCGAGTTCTAAAGCTAAAAGATAACTAAGTTAAATGTGGTTCAAGTTGAATAAGAAAAGCCTTTTTGTTTCACTTTATAGAGTATAATTTAAATTTTTGACTACAATTATAATTTTAATTAATCAATAAGGCTGATGAACACAGAAATAAAAAAGGCTTTCATTAAACTTTTAATAGCACAGACTAAATATAAATATTTATTTCTTGAAATATCTGTTTTGCTCAGTTTTATTTTTACCTTACTTCCGGGAATTACGCAAATGTCAAGTCTTTCTGCGCTGCGTGTGTGCTTAAAATGTATTCATTGTTATTTTTAGGCCTTGCCAGTGAGTCGTTGTTGTGTGAGGATGTTCGAAATTGCGGCAGACGCACACCTGTCCTGGCCAGCTGCTGCTGAGCAGGTTACAAAAGTCACTCAGCAGCCTGCGGTTCAAGCTGTCTGTCAGCTAAAGGATATGTGACATTTGACCTCCACTCTCCCACTCACACACACACTTTCTATCTCACTCTCTCTGTCTCTCGCTGTAACGTTAGCTAGCCTACAATTTGTAGAGATCCATTGTGTGGGAGCCACTAACGTTGCCATAGGCAGGACATTCAGTAAAGTCTTTTGTGTGAGCGTGTATGTGTGTCGGCTAATTTGGTGGCTTTTGTTGATGCAACTGGCATTGCTGTTATTGTTGTGCAGCAGCAGTTGCACATTGCATTGCATCCATTACTGTTCAGCTGTCCGGCCTGCATTCGCCCTGACACGGCAGCTGCATTCAAAAGTTTGTGACCTCCCCAATGCAGTCGGCGGAGCATTGTACTGCACAGAGGGACAACATGGTCAGAGGCAGGGCTGTATGTGTTGGGGACTTGGGGTTTGGGGCTTGGTAAGTCGCACTTAGTCGCATTGCATTGCACAGCCACTGTAGACGATTGTCGTTGCTGCTGGGGTTACGCACTGTAAACGGCCTGCATTCTCATCAAGCGTTTTTATTGCATTTCTCGACAGGACAACAGCAACCACAATTTCAGCAAGGAAACTCATTGTGGCAGTTGCCTTTGAGGCAATTTTCCAGCAAATAGGAATATCGTGTTCGATTGATTGTGCAACGATTGCAAGATTTTAAAATAAAGATCCAATTTACCGTCATAATTCGAAGAGTACAGAGATGAGCCAGAAAGTGAGCCTGAAATTGTGAAATACTTGACCTTGATTAAGCTGCATCTATGATATCTCTCATTTTAATATGGCCCTTCACAAACATTCCAATTAGAAACATTTGCTGATAAATTTAGCTTCTTCAAAATTCAAAAGTTTTCAATTTCAGCTTCAGTCTGCTGTGTCTTTTGCTTGCACTCGAAAGTTTCTTGGCCAATGTGGCGTATGCGTAATGAAATGCATATCGCGTTGAGCACGTGCATAAATTGTAGCATACATAATGTCGTTACAAGCTCATCTATGGCCGGGCATAAATCAGGTGCCCAGACAACGTCACCTGTCAGACGGCTTATCTTCAGCGCCTGGCCCGCCTTGACGCTGGCTTAAACACTTTATTTATTCTGATGCGAAATTAAAAACGTACAAGCAAGGCACAAAATGGCTGCACACATATACATGCCACGCCCAACGCGCCCATTCAGGCACTTTATTAATTTCAAGATGGCGCGCACTCAATTTAAAAAGGGCGACGCGACGCAACTCATAATTTATTTCATTAATTTAATCAACATCAACGCACATGTCAACTGCATACGTACTCCAAACTGTTCGTGTGTAGGTGTGTGTGGGTGTGCGGGTGTGTGTGTGTGCCACACCTTTTTATCTGGCGGCCTATCTGCGAAGCTTGTTGCAAAAAAGTAGCAACAAAAACAAGTTTATGTTTAAAATCGCTTAATACATCGTAAATTATGTTGAACTCTGCTCAGCTCCTGCTGCAGAGGCGTGGATTGTGGGCGGCAAAAAGGGGTGGGCGGGCTGCTATACAAAAGGCTGAAGTTAACAGCAGGCGAACGCGGCAACTGCCTCAGTCAACGTGATTATCAAGTCTTGAGCTGATTTCCTACTTTTTTTCAGCAAGCAAGCGAGTTCATTAAGCACACCAAAGCAATGTGTGTGTGTGTGTGGGTGTGTGTGTAAACTGTTACTGCTTTCATTAGGCCAACAAGCAGAAGGGCTGAAAGAGTTATAGTCGGGCTTTTCACACGCGCCTTAACGACGCGCTCATCATTATAACAAAAGGCCGCCAGAGATCGCAATGGCAAACAGCGAAAGGATTAACCTAATCTGAGGACTATAAAAGCGAGTTTATGCCGACACACACACACGTACGCTCAATGAGTTGGATATACAGTGAAATGTGCAGAAAAAATATGTGATTTTTCATCATAAAGCACATTGAGTATGAAAAGGAGCAGAGGAGGAAGTTGAGGTGGAGGTGGAGGCGATTCAGGACATTCGCATATTCAGAAGATGGCGCTACTTGATGAGTTTGTCTTTGGCTCCATTTGTGTGGCTGTGTGTGTGTGTTGACTGTTTTTGTATGCCAGCGGCACATGTTTTTCTAACAATCACACAATGTTTATATAACAGAACTTTTTACACGCTACCCAAAGTCAAGTCAAAGCAGAGCTCAAATTGAAGCAGATTTGGGCAAAGACAAAAAGCGTCTTTGACGTGCGATAAGCACTAAGACCAAGAGCGAGTTTATGTGTGAGACAGAGATGTGGGGCAAAGGGGAATACACCAAAGAAAACACTTGTGCGAGAAAAAAATATAACAACAACCTTTGCTGACTTTGTGCTGTGACAAAAACATTTCATTCTCTCGCTTTCCCAGCTAAATCAAAGTAAAACAAAGAGAGAAAAAAAACTCCACTTTTTACAAGTGCCAAAACTGAAATCCGTGCGGAAAAGCATCAAAGTTGCTATGTAGATTCTAGTTGCCATATAACTTAATTAAATGTTGTATAGAGTGTAAAAGATATAAACAATGTTTGAGTTAACTAAATTAAGATTGAGTCAATTTTCCACGTATGAAGGGACGACAATGTTGTGAGTGTGATTTGATGATGAAACTAGCTCAAGGGTATGGAAGAAGATAAAGGAAGAGGTTTCGCCAGATCACCAAAGATTGAATACCCTTTCCACACATCAATATATTTAACAGGTGTCTCATATATTAGTCTATTCTCAGGTATTACAACTGAGTTGCTTGAAAAAAATTAAGTTAATTAATCTCTATTTGATGCTGCTCTTATTGATGCTGAGATCGACGCTGTCACACATATGGACAGGCGGACAGATAGGCGGATCGACTCAGCTTGTCGTCTTGATTAAGAATATATATTATTTATTGGGTCTGCCAATTCAATTCTATACAAATGATTCACATATATATGAGGTATATATGTAGAGCACATATCTTCTCGATCATGTGCATATACTAGCTCTGTCTGTTCGCCTTTCCTTCTGCTGCTAACTTAGCTCAAAATAAGTGTAAACTCTCACTCAAAAATGAGCTCAGTAGCTCTGCTGGAGTTGCTTTTTGAGTGACTTTTGGGTATAAAAGGGCGCAGCAGCGGCTGTGGCGATCAGTCACGTTCAAGACCTGGACTAGGTCAGTCGTTGTGCAGTTCAGTGCAAGTGGTGAATAAATTTAAGTATTTTTTTGTTAAATTGTTTAAGTTTAAATAATTTTAATTTATTTAATAACTATTGTAATTGTTTAAATAAATATATTTTTTGTTTAAAAATTATTTAAATATATATTTAAGTTTTTCTTGTTTTTAAACATTTTCTATTTGTTAAATTAATATTGAATTGTTAAAATGTTAAAAATGTTTTCTTTTAATTATTATTTATAAGCACTAATTGTTATTATAATAATTAAGTTCGTCATAATGTTCATTAGCTACAATGATCATTATGAATGATGATCATTCATGTACATGATTATTAATGTAATTATCATTAACGATAATGATCATTAGCACTATGATTTTATCATGATCATTTTCGTAATGCTAGTTAAGTTAATATTTAAATACCCATATGCTGCTTTCTTCTCTCTAAAATTGTTAATTACTATTATAATAAATAATATTTAAGCGAATTTTATTTTATTACTCTGCTTGTAATATAATTAACTTGTGTGTTAAGTGTGCTTAGTGCTTGTCATAAACAGGGAATCTCTTCTCTTAATTTTCATCTTTATAACATTATATAAAAATACATATATGTATATATATATTTATATTTAAAAATATTTAAAAACAAGAATATATAATTGTATTGTTTATATAAATATATTTAATATATATATATTTATATTTATATTTATATATTTATATATATATATATATTTGTATATATATATATATTTATATTTATATGTATATTTATATATATATTTATATATATATTTATATATATATTACAAACTAAATATTTACGACAATTTTCTCATTTTAAAAATAGACAAAATTTGTAAAATAAATAAATAAAAAGTAGAAAGTAAGAAGTAAAAAGTATAAAAAATACTTTTAATATTAATACATATATATAATACCCTTTAAGAATTATTTATTTATTTTTAGCTACTTATGGACATACATATATAACTTGAGCAACAAATAAACTACTTGATTTGGAGTCGATCCGTCTGTCCATGTGTGTGAAGGCGTCGAGCTCAGCATATTTATACGAGCAATAGACTTGAAGAGGCCTGATATTTATTAAGAACAGAAAAACTTGCTATGAAGT